GAAATGAACAATACATGAACAACCGAGTGTTCACTGCAACGTTCGTCATTGTTGATATGAACATGAAATTCGTTATATAATTTCTTTCCAATTTCAAGTGAAATCTGCGAGCGAGGAAGACGCCTTATTGAAGCTTTGTGTTATGGTATGTACTGTTTTGAAGAAAAATATGCAAGTAGGTTGTCATATTTCGGTCGTATTTAAAGACAATTAATTTTGAAAATTGTTTACGATAAGAACCTTTCTTGAATTTGTCGTATTTTTTCGGCTGTTTTGCTCAAAAATTATCTCGCAAGTTTGTTTATAAAACTTTATATTCATATATAAAAATTATCTCGCAAGTTTGTTTATAAAACTTTATATTCATATATAAAAATTATTTCGCAAGTTTGTTTATAAAACTTTATATTCATATATAAAAATTATTTCGCAAATTTGTTTATAAAACTTTATATTTCAAACTTCTATTTCACGAAACACTACAACCGAAATATGGTAACCTGTTTCGCCGTTTTTTGTTCAAAATAGTGGATACACAAGCTTCATAAGGCGCTTTCCTCGGTTTGCAACAGGTCTGTCGCAAGTTGTTGAAAACAGCATTGCTGCAGCTCTGTGTCAACAACTTGCGACAGGCCTGTTGAAAACAGCATTGCTGCAGCTCTGTCACAACAGCTTCTAACAGACCTGTTGAAAACAGCATTGCTGCAGCTCTGTCACAACAGCTTGTAACAGACCTGTTGACAGGCCGTTGCGGACCTGTCAGAACAGACAGGTACAAGGCGAGCAAACGCATCCAGATATCGGCTTGTTGACAACAGCATTTAACAGATCTGTTGCAGACCTGTTCCGACTTGCGCGTTTCTGGCTGTGTACACAGCCAGAAATCTCACAGGCCTGTCGCAAGCTGTTGATTTTACCGGCTTGCGGCAAGTTGTCAACAAGTCGCGACAGGTCTGTTGGTTTCGTCAGGCGGTAACAGGCTTGCGGTAACAGGTCTGTCGCAAGCTGTTGACAAGAGAGCCGTAGCGACTTGTTGAAACAACCCGCTACAAACCTGTTACTAACAAGAGATAACAGATCTGATAGAACAATTTGCAGCAAGTCTGTTGAAATCAACAGGTCTGTTACAACCTGTTCCAACAGACCTGTCGCGAGTTGTTTTTGTCAAGTCTGCAGCAAGCTTGTTATCAGACCTGCGACAAACCTGTCCACAACAAACAATTTTTGTCCTGTCACAACAAGTTTCAACAAGCCTGTTGTAGGGAAACAAATCGAAAATGTGAGTAAAGAGATATAAAATCGCACGAAATGGACACTTCCGGCTTCACTTTCCCATTTAATCATTGTCATTGGTGGCGATATTAAATCACATAGGAGAGATTATAGTCCATAGTATCCAGCCTAGACCTAGGCCTTCTAGTCTTATTTATACTTTTTTAATACTCAGCGCTTTTTCACATGAAAAGACTGGGACTAGGTGATTTGGGGGCGGGGCGGAGGAACGGTTTGTGTCCTTCCTCCGCCCCGCCCCCAAATTACCTAGTCCCAGTCTTTTCATGTGAAAAAGCGCTGAATATTAAAAAAATATAAATAAAAATAGAAGGCCTAGGTCTAGGCTGCATAGTATCTATTCTCGGATTATTATAAAATGCAAAAGCCGCTGTTTTATTTTTTTTAAAAAAGTTCCGATTTCCAAAATCCAAATTCCAATTTGCTGACGTGTGCTATCGCTATATTTCTTTAATCTGATTGGATAAACGCGTGTGCACACGTCATCATTCCTCGTTGCAATTGGGCGAAATATTACAAACATATCAATCACGTAATCATGTTTAGTTGTTTTTCAATTTTGAGCCAAACAAAATTTCAACAACTGCCTCAAACAAAATCAAACAAGTTCAAAGCTGTTTTGATTTTTGAAGAAACTGTGGCAATGAGAATACAAGATCTAGAGCTTAAGAAATGAACAATACATGAACAACCGAGTGTTAACTGCAACGTTCGTCATTGTTGATATGAACATGAAATTCGTTATATAATTTTTTTCCAATTTCAAGTGAAATCTGCGAGCGAGGAAGACGCCTTATTGAAGCTTTGTGTTATGGTATGTACTGTTTTGAAGAAAAATATGCAAGTAGGTTGTCATATTTCGGTCGTACTTAAAGACAATTAATTTTGAAAATTTTTACGATAAGAACCTTTCTTGAATTTGTCGTATTTTTTCGGCTGTTTTGCTCAAAAATTATTTCGCAAGTTTGTTTATAAAACTTTATATTCATATATAAAAATTATTTCGCAAGTTTGTTTATAAAACTTTATATTTCAAACTTCTATTTCACGAAACACTACAACCGAAATATGGCAACCTGCTTGGCCTTTTTTTGTTCAAAATAGTGGATAGACAAGCTTCATAAGGCGCTTTCCTCGGTTTGCAACAGGTCTGTCGCAAGTTGTTGAAAACAGCATGCTGCAGCTCTGTGTCAACAACTTGCGACAGGCCTGTTGAAAACAGCATTGCTGCAGCTCTGTCACAACAGCTTTTAACAGACCTGTTGAAAACAGCATTGCAGCAGCTCTGTCACAACAGCTTGTAACAGACCTGTTGACAGGCCGTTGCAGGTCTGTCAGAACAGACAGGTACAAGGCGAGCGAACGCATCCAGATATCGGCTTGTTGACAACAGGATTTAACAGATCTGTTGCAGATCTGTTCCGACTTGCGCGTTTCTGGCTGTGTATATGTTACACGGCCAGAAATCTCTCAGACTTGCTGCAAGTTGCGGAGTTTACCTGGCCGCCGCAAGCTGATGACAAGTTGCGTCAGCCCTGATGAATACGTCAAGCCGCGACAGACCTGATCATAGAATATATAATCGACCAGAAGTCTCACTGTACACCTTTCCTTAACATTTTCGTGTCCGCGATTTTCGCCTTGCGGATCACGAATTTCGCACGCTAGATGACGTGTGTGACACCAGGGTGACACTTGCTGCGAACATCACGTCAGCGTTCGTCAGCAAAACGGTTAAAACAGCAATCTTTATTACCTGGTAATGGCAATTGATGGCGTAATTGCTCGCGTTTTATGGCGTGGATTACACTTGCTGGCTCGCGCCTGCGCATAAAAAATCTCGGACATAATTTTGGATGAGTGAGGCTTCTGGTCTTATTTTCTATTCTGTGCTAACGGTTTGCTGACGCATGCGTTCGTTGGTCGCGCACGCTCTCAAATTTTCCCGCGTGGAATTTCTCTGCGTGGCGGCACTTCGCGAATATTTCCGATCTTCTATTAAGGGTTCTATTTGCCTTTAAAAAACTGTGCCTTTTAAAGGCAAATAGAACCCTTAATAGAAGATCGGAAATATTCGCGAAGTGCCGCCACGCAGAGAAATTCCACGCGGGAAAATTTGAGAGCGTGCGCGACCAACGAACGCATGCGTCAGCAAACCGTTAGTGAGTAGCGTCAACAAACAAAACTGAACTTACTTGTAATAACAGTTGCCTGAAGATTGCGAAATTGCATGAAACTCTGAGTAGCAACATATACCATTTTTAAGATTAAATTATATATATATATATATATATATATATATATATATATATATATATATATATATATATATATATATATATATATATATATATACATGTTTTCATGATTGACACGTTATGCATTAACTACTGTCGCGCACACGAAAATGAGGCTATATAGCCAAAGTGACGTACTTTCTGGAAGAATGTATTATTGGTCGTACTGTGCATGTACACGTACACATTTCTAGAGTTAACTTTCTTGGTATTCAAAATGAGTTAAAATATGGACATCTTCAAAAACATCATCCTTGGCCTTAATACTTACAGTGTACTTTCGTTTACACAGAGGCTCGAGTTGGGAACAAAGTGTCAAGACTTCAATGGCAACATCACTGGGAGACAATAGCACTTTCCATAATGGCTCGTCCAACTGAATATCAACTGAAAGTAAAAAAATACAGTAATCAATTGACTGTTGCGTTATAATTAGATCATCTCTTTTAAATTAAAATAAGTGCAGTTGAAATTTAGTTTTCTACAGTAGAATCCAACAGAAAATATATTTGCATCTGATATGCGCAAATTTGACAGTTGCTGTTAGCCAATCAGAAATCAAGAATTATTTTAAATAAATAATAATTGATATACTTTATTAATTTATTGTAATTTATTACCATTCCTGTGGCACTCAAGGACATGCAAGATATAATTTAATGTCCTGTTACTTAAATAAAAGAATTCTCAATTTCTGATTGGCTAACATGGTGAAGTCATCGTCAAAAAGTATCGCTGTTTGATTGTAGGAAAATTAGAACAGCTATTTCAACCAGAAAGTTTGCATGGTATGCTTTAAAAAGGGCCTCACGACGTTGTCCTATGTTTCTTAATTGGTTGTTTGTCATTTGTTTCTCGTCATGCATGTTCAAGATATTTTGCTTCAATTCCCAAGATGAAGAAATATCAACAAAATAAGGAATCTTTAATAGGAAAACTTAATAGGAAATCATTTAAAATTTAAGTTACTGTAATGTCACGATCGAATGGCAACTGTATTGAAATTAAGTTTAATACCAGACCATTTTATGTTGTTTCGATCATTTAAAACATTGCCATGTCCATTAACATTACATGAACATCTTATTGTAATACAATTTAACATAATTTAAGCTAGCTGTCCAGCCCCTTCTGATACGATAAAATATTTAGCTGTTCTAGTTTTCCCACTATATTAAATCAAACAGCGATACTTTTTAATGATGATATTTCATCATGTTAGCCAATCAGAAAGGGATACCATGTAGTACAATGATGTCAATGGATGCAATTTAAAAAATAATTATTGCACACTCTGATGTCATGCCATTAATAGAATGTTAATATTAAATCTCGACTTAATATTTTGCCATATTGGGCTCAAAAGAATCCAATAAGTTATATTATTTATTTAAAAGAATTCATGGTTTCTGACTGGCTAACAGCTGACTGTGAAATTGTCATGATATCAACTTAATATAGCTATAAGACAAGTCCCCCCACCCCCCAACTCTCCAATAGTACCACCTTCAAGAGATGTTTAAATAAATCCATTGAGATATGTTGGGAGTTTATTCTTCTTACAATGCCTTGTATGAAAGTGGTTAAAATTCTAAACTTTACTATAATTGATTTTCTAAGGAATTATTATAAGGGCCACAACTTTTTATTCAGCTAGCAAATTTGATTGCATTATTTTCCATGAGAGACTTCAGATTTCAAAATTTCCAGGGGAGTGCTAACATATGATCTTGGACCACTCTAGCTGGCCCCTTGCACCTTTGCCATTTGCAACACATCAATTTCTTGATGACATCATACATTGTCCTCCACTTCTGTTTCACTGGTGAGGCTTACTGCATGCATTTCTAGTTATTAGAGAGTTATAGATTGACGTTTACGGCAAACGTCAAACCGCTAACGAAGTTTTTGATTCTATAACTCTACTATAACAGCTTTTACACCAGTTTTGAAATATATTAAACAATTGTTAAACTTGTGCTCTTTAGCAATGATTTAAGAAAGCAAATTAACCACTACTCACGTATTCACCAAAGCAGTATATTAAGATTTGACGTTTGAAGTTTACGTTTGGCGTATAAATTTCATGCTTTAACGACTACAAGCCCTCGTAG